AGCTTTCTCCTGTACTATGCTACCATCTTGGGAGGAGGAAATGGAGAAGAGAACCCTTGGGATGATAAAGAAACATTTAGACAAAAAGTGACTGATATAATTGATCCTGACTATTGCTACCATTTTCTGCTACCAGTACAAACAGGGGTTCAAAACAAAATGAAATATAATTGTAGAAAATAAAGTTTCCATCTTGTACACCAATTTTTAGGCAAATTCATGTAAAATGAAATACCATGGGACAAGAGGGAAACCACTCAAGGGAAACCACTCAAAAGAGGCAGAACATCTAGGTTAAAAGGCCAGGGTTGGAAGAGAAAATGAGGAAGAGTATTCAATGAGAGAAGACAGAAACCAAGACAGAGGAGTATAATGGAAAACATTGTGGGGGGGGGGGGGGACATTTTAAAAGCAGGTATGTGCAATAAGAAATAATTATGCTTTAGTTTGGCACCTTGGTTGTTAGGTATTTCGAAAACCATCAATCTCAGCAAACTGACAGAAGAGCAGAAGATCAAACACTGCATGTTCTCACTCATAGGCGGGTGTGGAACAATGAGAACACATGGACACAGGAAGGGGAGCACTACACACTAGGGTCAGTTAGGGGGAAATAGGGGAGGGACAGTGGGGGGTGGGGAGTTGGGGAGAGATGCCAGATGTAGATGATGGGGAGGAAGGCAGCAAATCACACTGCCACGTGTGTACCTATGCAACAATCTTGCATGTTCTTCACATGTACCCCAAAATCTAAAATGCAATAAAATAAATGGGAAAAAAAAAGAAATTCAAAGTTTTAGTCCACATTGCCCACACGATTGAGTTCAAACACCTTAATGAGGTATTCACAAACACCCATCACCTAGCTCCAGCCTACTTTCCCAGGCTTTTCAAACTACACATATAAAAACATGCATTGTAAATCAGCAGACCCAACTTTCGGTCCTGGGGCTGTCCCTAACTAGATAGATGACCTTCGATAAGTTTTTTAACTTCTCCTGGTTTCCCTTTCCTTGTGCAATTAAAACGTAAAACAATTCCATTTCTGAGTTTGATTCTTAGTTTAAAGTGAGCTGAGCTGGAGTTTCAGCCCTTATGTTATTCTTTTTCATCCAGAAGTGACTTTCTTATCAGTTATGAAGACCCTCCCTTCATTTGGCTCTGAGAGCCTCCCTGGGCCTCATTTATTCATTTCCCTCCCTCATCTCATTTATTTACCCACACTTTTTGGAATCATTAAAAAGTTCCTCCTGCATATGCACTTCTACCTTGTCTTGCCAAGTAGATTATCAGCCACATCACGACTGGGGTCATTGTTTACAATTTTTTATAAACTTCATTATACCAAGCATAATGCCTTACATTCAGAAGACATCCAACAAATCCTTGTTCCTTCATTATTAATTATAAACTACAGGCATTTTCAATCTCTCTCCTTGTGTTATAGATGTGAAAGCAGTTCTCAAAACTGAACAAGCTTACTAAACTAGTGAAAGGAAATCATCATTCAGCCTTTAAATAGGGGTGGTGAAGATAAACTTCCTGTCAAACATCACTGGAAGAAGTTGTGATTCCCACAAGTCTCATACTGAGAGCACAGTTCTCTCATGATTACTCTTCAGTCTTCCTGGAACACCCGATTCTGCTCCGTTTGTACATGTAGAAATATGCTTTTATCCACCCATTTAAATATTAGTCTAAAGCTGTGTCTACAAAATCCCAATAATTCTAATGGAATTGCAGTTTTCCATTGATTCTCCAGGTTTTGTCAGGCTGAATTTCATTAATATCCATTACTGTATTTGTTGGTAAAGATCTAAGCAGCAGACTTTTCAGAAATGTCTTGAATTGATTTTTCTGCCTGGGATGTAAGATCTAAGGGGTAATGATTCTCTGTGTTCACCACCCTTGTACAGTGCCAAAACATGATCACGATTTCGACTATTATGATGCCACAACACCCTCTATATGACAATACCTAATTCTTACACATCTAAGTTAAAATTTTACTTCCTTTTACTCTGTGTGATTCTTATCATTCTCAATTCTATGCTCTCCTTATGATCTCTTATTTTAAATTATAAGAATCAGAAAACATTCTTCAAAAGGCAAGTCTTGCTTCACTTTCATAGTGGGTAAACCAGAGTACACAGACAACTTTTTAGTGAAGACTTTCCTGGCCTTCCAAAATATATATTAGTGCTTACCTTTTGTAGCCCATTATAAAAATTGCCATAATTAAGAATAGACTAGAATATGAAAGTAAATAGAATACTTCCCCATGAAATAGCAGCCTATAATGTTTCTTATCAATTGTTTGCTTACCCACTAATTTGCAAAATTTCAGTAATTCACAGTGGATCTCCTTATTGGTGCTGGGAATTCACAAAGTTCTACTGAACCCACTAATTTCTCTTTCCCTTGACTACCATTTATCATTGGATTGTGAAACTGCATTATTGATATTAACTGCTCTGGGAGAACATTCCACTACATTTGAAATGAGACCATCATAATACTGTTTATGAAAAAAAGAGTCATAAAATTTTACACCTACAATTTTTCTCACAGCAGTGATGTAGATGTAAGTTTTTAAAAATAATAATTGGTCCCCAGTGAGAATAATGCCAATTAACTGCATGCTGTCTTTAGACGAAATGCAATCTTACTTTCTTCTTGCTTCTTTAATAAAGCTGCATTTTTTTTCCTTTTAGTTAACATTTGGTTAACCTTGAAATAGAAAAATATCAGTACACTTCAAATAGTACGAAAGAAGAATGTATTGTATGACTATTTAAAGCACGAATATAAACTTCGCTTCGAAGTAAAGCATTTCTCTATGGTCCACAAAAGTCTGAATGCTCAGTGAGGGCAATAAGGCTGGCTAGCAGCAGATGCTAATAAATATGCATTAACTGCATGCCTCATATATGGATTTAATGTAGAGACTACTTGGACAGGTTAGCACCAGATTAACAAGTTCCATTAACAAACTATTCTTCTAACAAAAGCTATGCTCATTTTATATAATTGATGCTATCTTACAATTTATGCCACTTTTAAAGTCACACAATATATTCAAACACATTAACTCATTTATCCCACTACCCTCTGAGGAAGATAATATCCCCTACTCCTTAATTTACAGATGAGTACACAACTTCCGGAACATTAAAATCTCTCCCTTGGCTTCAGAGCTCTCCTTTTATTTTACCTGGAGATAGCCTGAGAGCTAGATTTCTACAGTTAAAATGACTCCCCAAATACAATGGAAATACTGATAGAGGAAATGATATGATATCAGGGATTTACTCTGAAATAATCTGGGGAAAGCAGGAAGTAGGTGGGAATGGAGATGATACAGGAGTAGACCTGAACAGCTAACTGTTGAAGCTGTGATGGGTACAGGAAGAAATCTTTGCTTTTATTAATGTTTGAAATTTTCCATAATAAAGAATTTTTTAAGCTGAGAAGTATAAATAAATAGATAAGTAATGGTCCTTCTCAAGGTGTTTTGCTAAAGATAACAATTTCTTCTCTTAGATTGCAAACTAATACCTCTCAGCCCACATCAGCCACATGAATCTAATACAAAATGACACTTTCATATACTAGTGGAAATCAGCTAAGTAGCTTGTAGTGCAGAACTTAATAATAGACGGCCCCAAATACCTAAGATATATAGGAATAGCTAAATCTCATGCATTTTAGTCTACTAGGAACACTCTATTTAGAATGCAACATGGCATACATAGAATGATGTGTTTCTCATTGTTGTCTAATTACTATGAAGTCAGGCGGTGAAATAACAAGCAAAGTGAGCTCTAGCTCCCTGTCTTTGAGCTTTAACAGTGTTCAGCGAGGGCTATAACTTCAAGTTATCTGTTCCTTTACATAAACATATAACTTAAATAATCATCATGGAATGTTCTGCAAAATTACAGCTGGGCTCAGCATTTAAGGCAATGAAGATGAAAGACTTTCCTTCCCAAATGAAAACTTAAGGTACTTCTGGATTCCAAGTACCTTAAGACAAATCCACTAAACAGTAGTACTTCCTTTATTTTCAGAAAGGAGCTCACTGGAAACACTGTTACTCAAGAAATCAGAACTGTCTCTTTGAGACCAACTTCTTATGTAACTTTCACAGCTGAGTTGGAGCAGGTTCTTAGGATCCTTAAACCTAAGAGGGAATTTGATGACCAGGTACCCTAAGAAAGAGCTTTATGATCCTATTGCCATGGGCCCACCCCCAGGACAGAAAAAAAGTGAGCATTTACTGGGATGAAAGGCTTCTTACCAGATTGTCACTGGGTAGAGGCCCAGAATATGAGCAAACAACAGATCACGATTGCAACAAAGACGCAGAAGAAAGAAAATAAGAGACAGCAACAAGAGCATCACCAGCACCATCACTTGTGTGGACATTTGTAGCTTTGGCATCGCTTTTCCAAGCAATGTTCAGAAATATACTTAAATATTTAAAAAATCTAAAGATTCTTGGCAAGAAAAATAAAAATACATATTCTGATTTGAAGCATGGCAACATTATTAATACCACAAATGGCAATGAAAGCAATTGCCAAGACCAATATGAAAAATTTTAAAGACAAATGTTATTTCCTTCTCTGAATTAACTCATAACATTTTCATCCATATTCCCAAAAGTTGCAGTCAGATTGCTGAAAAACTTTAACATAAGCATCCACTGCTAATTTTACAAGACTATAACTTAAACTTTGCTAAGAGAATTTTGTGATACCTCTGATTTTTTTCAATATACAATAAATTATGGATTCATTCTTAGGAAGGTTAGTTATATTGAATTATCTAATTTATAAGATACAAAAGTGGAAATAAATATGTAACTATATAATACTGAAATATTGCATGTAACTATTTTTCTAACTCTCGATGACTGTTCTTTAAAACAAGCATGAACAACTTCAGACAGCTCATTAAAATGTATCATGAACTCTAATTGAAATATTTACACTTACGTGAGATAGCAGAGCCAGCTCATGGTGACATGTGACAGCGTTCCGGTTGGCTTCCATAAAATACCTTTGTGTGCGTCTTCGTTCCCGTTCCAGCTTCTTCTCCAAAGACAACTGAGATGTAGATAAGTTGTCTAAATATTTCATCATGACATCTGATATCATCGAACTGACTTCTACAATATCTGGACGAGCTTCCGCATCAGCAGTGAGGCACCTAAGAGAAGATAAGCTAATTATAACACTCTGGTCAATTTGAGAGCAGGCCACAGAGTGTAGAGGGTATGGTATTTACACCTAAGATAACCTGAGATAAGATGGATATCAAGCACAGCTTTGAGTCCAAGACTTCTCAAAAGGCATTTAGAAAGCTTAAGGAAAGAAAGGGGAGGCAGCATTGTCCTCTTTGCTCTTAGGCTGGAAGGTAAGGGTTTCAGGCTCGGCATGAAGATGCACTCAGGATGGGCAGATGGGACCATCTTCTCCTGCATTGGTTGGCTGCTTTCTGAAATCACTGGCAACTAACTGGCAGGTGAAAAAAAAAGTCCAGTATCAAGACTTTTATTAGTGACGATATTCTAAATTCTTAGACTGCAGATATTTAAGCTGCTTCAAGGTAATATTAGCAGCTGAATTGTCAGCTGAGCATTTTAAAAAATAATAAATAGCAACATAAGCTAGTTTTACAAATTATATAGTTCACATATGGTGGTACAGGCGAACGGAAATGACCTCTGTTCTCCTGGCATATAGTCATCTCCTTGCCCAAGGCTACTCCTGGTCCTGTATTTGCCATCACTAGAAAAGTGAGAAACATGATGAGAACGTAACAGAGAGAACACAAGATGCAGCTTAGCATCATAATTCAGCATTTAGGCTCTGGATCATTTTGCTGGGGTTTAAAACCTCATTCACCATTTATTAGGTCAGATCTCGGGCAAGAAACATAGCCTCTAAGTCTCCGATAGCCCACCAGTCAAAGGGGATAATCAGAGTATCTACTTCCTTAAACTGGTGTGGTGTTTGAATAAGGTAGTCTCTGGGAAGTCCACACACATTGCAAATTTTAATAAATCGAAAAGAAAATCCACACTTTTATGTATCCTCCATCCCTTCCTTCATTTAACAAACACCAAGTCCTGTGACTTCTACCTTCTAAATATTTCTTGAATCTATATCCTTCCCCTGTAATCCCACAGTTATTTGGCTATTACAACATCATTTGCTTGGATTACTGAGTCTCCTAAATAACACACTCATTTCTTGCCTACCTCTGGTCTGTACTGTAAACTGCTAACCGAATAATATTCCTACATCTGACTACATTATTTCTCTACTCAAAATTCTTCAATAGTTCTCATGGCCCAGTGGGATAAAATTAAAATTCCCAGAACCTAAACAAGGTCTCTCTCGAACTGGTCCTTTCCTTCCTCCATTGTTTCCCCTCCTCCGGAAACACATCCAGTGCTGCTACCTGCACTTCCCCAAACAGTACCTGTCTCTTCTATGCCCCGTTTTCTTTGCTTATTTTATTCTATCTGCTTTTTTTTTTTTTTTTTTTTTTTTTGCTAGTGATAGCTTGTCTTTCCTAGACATCATCTCTTATATTCTTGCCAAAATCCCACTCTTTTTCCAGGCTCCATTAAGAAGACTTTTGGACTGCCCACAGATGGATATCCTGAGCCCCTTTTGTACATTCTCTTTGCACCATTTGCACTTACGTACTTAAAACTATTGTAATTATTTTATTATAATGGTCTGTTTTACCACTAGACTGGAAACTTATTGAGAAGAGGGACAGGTATCCTCTTCACTATGATCTCCCCAGCATGTACAATGGAATCTGAGTCCTGATAGGTATTCAGCAGATGAATGAATGAATCAACGAATAAATCCACAAACAAACTCAGCCTAACATCTAAAACGTTTGCCCCCCCATAACCCAAAATATGTGGCCATAGACTTTTGGATTCGCAGGAACATTTCCCATCAGAAGTTCCAGGAGAGTCTCATTGCTCTGAAATGACTCCTTGCTTAAGTATTTAAGAGAAATTCTTCACATATATATATATATATATATATATATATATATATATATATATATAT